TGAGGGTGCACACAGGTGAGCGGCCGTACACCTGCGCCACGTGCGGCAAGAGCTTCACGCACTCGTCCAACCTGCACCTGCACCGGCGCACGCACTCGGCGGCGCGGCCCTTCCGCTGCCCCACCTGCCCCAAGGCTTTCGTCATGGCCGCTTACCTGCAGCGGCACCTGCGCACTCACGGCCCCGCCCCTCGCCGCTCACCTGGCGCCGCACCTGCGCCGCCGCCCGCCGCGTACCTGCTGCTGCCCGCGCCGCAGGGGCTGCGCATCCTGCCCGCCCCCGGCCCCTCCCCCCGCAAGGTGCTGCTGCTGCCCGCCCCGCCCGGCCACGCCCGGACACACCTGGCGCAGGTGGGCAAGGGGCAGCACACCTGGCAGAGCGTGCTGGTCATACCTGGGGCGGGGCACGAGGGGGCGGGAGCAGGGGTGCAGCTGCAGGTGGCTGAGGTGACGGGGGTCACAGGTGTGACAGGTGCCACAGCGGTAGGTGTCACAGGTGTAGGTGTGACAGGTGTCACAGGGGTCACAGGTGTGCAGCTCCAGGTGTTGCCGGTGGGCCCAGAGGTCACCAATGTCCAGGTGCAGGGCGGTGAGGTGACAGGTGCCACAGGGGTCACAGGTGTCACAGGTGTAGGTGTCACGGGTGTGACAGGTGTGACAGGTGTCACAGGGGTGCAGCTCCAGGTGCTGCCGGTGCCCTCAGAGGTGACCAATGTCCAGCTCCAGCCGTTGTCATCACCGGAAGTGACCAATGTCCAGCTCCAGGCCCTGCCACCACCACCGGAAGTGACCAATGTCCAGCTCCAGGTGTTGCCACCACCTCCAGGTGTCACCAGTGTCCAGCTCCAGGCCCTCCCGCTGACCTCAGGTGTCACCAATGTCCAGCTCCAGGTGTTGCCACCACCTGAGGTCACCAACGTCCAGCTCCAGGTGTTGCCACCACCACCTGAGGTGACCAATGTCCACCTGGAGACAATGGAGGAGGTGCCCGGTGCCCACCTGGACATGTCAGAGGTGCCCAGTGCCCACCTGGAGACATCGGAAGTGCCCAGTGTCCACCTGGAGGTGCCCAGTGTCCACCTGGAGGTGCCCAGTGCACACCTGGACATGTCAGAGGTGCCCAGTGCCCACCTGGAGACCACGGAGGTGACCGATGTCCACCTGGAGGTGCCCAGTGCCCACCTGGAGACCACTGAGGAGGTGCCCAGTGCTCACCTGGACACTTTAGAAATGACCACTGTCCACCTGGAGGTGCCCAGTGCCCACCTGGAGGTGCCCAATGTCCACCTGGACACATCAAATGTGCCCAGTGCCCACCTGGAGTCCACAGAGGTACACCTGGAACCCCCCTAGGAGGTGCCCAGTGCCCACCTGGACACCTTGGAGATGACCGATGTCCACCTGGAGGTGGTCAGTGCCCACCTGGACACACCTTGGAGGTGCCAAGTGCCCACCTGGACATGTCGGAAGTGACCACCTGGAACCCCGGGAAGAGGTGCCCAGTGTCCACCTGGAGGTGTCCAGGGCCCACCTGGAGGTGGCCAGCACTCACCTGGATACACCTTTGGAGGTGCCCAGTGCCCACCTGGACACATCGGAGGTGCCACCCCCCCACCTATCACCTGCACAGGTGCCCAGTGCCCACCTGGAGCCCTCCAGCTGCTCGTGGCCAGGGGCACCCCGTGCCCACGGTGGGGGGCACCTGCACACCTGTGCCCGCAGGTGAGGGGTGCCAGGGTGTGCCTGGGGGTGCCAGGAGCTCACCTGAGCTCACCTGGCCCAGGTGTTCCCGTGTTCCCCCCGTGTCAATAAAGGCGCCGCTTCCCCCCCCCACCCAGTGCGGTTTGTACTTCCGGAAGGGGCGGGGCCAAGGGAGGGGCGGAGCCAAAGGTAACCAATGGGTAACGGGGGCGTGGCCAACTGAAGGGGCGTGGCTTAAATAGTGGGCGGGACCAATGGGGTGGGGGGGTACTGGGAATCACTGGGGCCGTACTGGGAGATGAAACTATCCCAGTCATTCCCAGTATGGCCCCAGTACAGTCCCAGTGATTCCCAGTACGGCCCCAGTATGGTCCCACTGATTCCCAGTATGGCCCCAGTAGAGTCCCAGTGATTCCCAGTATGGCCCCAGTATGGTCCCAGTGATTCCCAGTATGGCCCCAGTATGGTCCCAATGATTCCCAGTATGGTCCCAGTACGGTCCCAGTGATTCCCAGTATCTCCCAGTATGGTCCCAGTGATTCCCAGTATGGCCCCAGTGATTCCCAGCATGGCCCCAGTGATTCCCAGTATCCCCCAGTATGGTCCCCGTGATTCCCAGCATGGTCCCAAGTGATTCCCAGTACGGCCCCAGTGATTCCCAGTATGGCCCCAGTGATTCCCAGTATCCCCCCAGTATGGTCCCAGTGATTCCCAGTATCCCCCAGTATGGCCCCAGTGATTCCCAGTATCCCCCCAGTATGGCCCCAGTGATTCCCAGTATCCCCCCAGTATGGTCCCCGTGATTCCCAGCATGGTCCCAAGTGATTCCCAGTACGGCCCCAGTGATTCCCAGTATCCCCCAGTATGGTCCCAGTGATTCCCACTATGGCCCCAGTATGGTCCCAATGATTCCCAGTATCGTTCCAGTATGGCCCCAGTGATTCCCAGTATCCCCCAGTATGGTCCCAGTATGGCCCAGTCCCTGCCAGTTTATCCCAGTCCCCCCCAGTGTCTCCCAGTTTATCCCAGTTCCCTCCCAGTCCCTGCCAGTTTATCCCAGTTCCCTCCCAGTCCCTGCCAGTTTATCCCAGTTCCCCCCAGTCCCTCCCAGTCCCTCCCAGTCCCTCCCAGTTCCCCCCAGCGCCCCTCCCCCACCGGGACAGCGCCCGGGAACTGGGATAAACTGGGATAAACTGGGGGGGAACTGGGAGGGACTGGGGGGGACTGGGAGACACTGGGAGGAACTGGGAGGGACTGCGGGGAACTGGGATAAACTGGGATGGACTGGGATAAACTGGGAGGGACTGGGGGGACTGGGATGAACTGGGGGGAACTGGGAGGGACTGGGAAGGACGAGGGGGACTGGGAGCACTGGTGTGAACTGGTGTGAACTGGAAGCACTGGAGTGTACTGGTCTGAACTGGGAGGACTGGTTTGTACTGGTCCGTACTGGTTTGAACAGGTGTGAACTGGGAGCACTGGTCTGTACCGATCTGTACTGGTTTGAACTGGTCTGTACTGGTCCGTACTGGTCTGTACTGGTCCGTACTGGTTTGAACTGGTCTATACTGGTCCATACTGGTCTATACTGGTCCGTACTGGTCCATACTGGTCCGTACTGGGAGCCCTGGGCCGGTCCCAGTTGTGCCCCGGGAGGAATTCGGGACCGCCCCTCCCCCCCCCGGCCACCTGTGCCCGCGTTAATTAGCGATGATTAATTACCGGGGAGATTGACCCCGGGGATGATTAATGACCCTGGGAGTGATTAATGACCCTGGGAGTGATTAATGACCGGGGGATTGATTACCGGGGAATGATTAATTACCCTGGGAATGATTAATTACCCGAGGGATTGATTACCGGGGAATGATTAATTACCCTGGGAGTGATTAATTACCCGGGATGTGATTAATTACCCGAGGGATTGATTACCGGGAATGATTAATGACCTTGGGGAATGATTAATAAGCGGGGGAACTTATTAATTACCCGGGGAATGATTAATTACGGGGGAATTGATTACCGGGAATGATTAATGACCCTGGGGAATGATTAATGACCGGGAACGTTTTAATTACCTGGGGAATGTTTAATTACTGAGAATGTTTAATGACCAGGAATGATTAATTACTGGGAGTGTGATTAATTACCGGAGGGATTGATTAATGACCCTGCGGAATGATTACTTTTTAATTAATTTAATAATTAATGTTTTAATTACTGGGGAAGGGTGATTAATGACCGGGAATGATTAATTACTGGGAATGTTTAATTGCCGGCGGTGTGATTAATTCCAGGGACTGTTTAATGACTGGGGTTTATTAATTACCGGGAATGATTAATGACCCTGGGGAATGATTAATTACCCGGGGGTGTGATTAATTTCGGGAATGTTTAATGACTCTGGGGAATGTTTAATTACCGGGAATGATTAATGACTGGGGGTGATTAATGACCAGGAATTAATTACCGGGACTGATTAATGACTGGGGGTGATTAATGACTGGGGGTGATTAATAACCAGGAATTAATTACCGGGAATGATTAATTACCGGGAGTGGTTAATGGCGGGGGGATGAGGAGCTGCCCTCAGGGGTTAATTAGCGGCAGGGGTTAATTAGCGGCAGGGATTAATTACGGGGGAAGGGCAGCGACCGCGACAGGTGCGGGAGCAGGTGCGGGGGGGAG